TATATTTTATTCAAAAGAGTGAAAAAAAAGGAGAGGTCTTAAAACATTGAAAATTGAAAACATTTTATTTAGTAATCTCTGAATATGTTCCTATTCTTGCTGTAGAGAGTTGTGACTTCTTAGAGCTTCAAAAGTTGGATTTAACTATCGTTAAAAGAAGGGAATTATATCTCTCGTGTTGTAGGAATTATTTTGTTGTCATGTTAAGAAAATGACAAGGCATATATAGTATTAAAAATAGTGATGGGACACTTTATTCAATGAATTAGTTTATCTTTTTCTTAATATGATAATTTTTTTGATTTCTAAACATAATGAACGCATTTCCCTTAGGGGGTGTTTGGTTGAAGATAAATTTTAAGAATACTAGAGAAATGTAATTACTAGGTATCCATAGGGAAAGTTGAATAGATGAGGAAATTAAAAAAAAGTAGTTTGGTTTGACAAAATTTTACCAGGAAAATATATGACAAAAAGTGTGTCAACAGTGCTTTACCTGGGTTTTCTCAAAAAACCACCCTCAAATCGGGTTTCTAAACAATGCAAATTACTATCTTTCTCAAAAAGCCAGACATTTCACATAAATGGATTTTGGTCAAAACCTGTTGAACCAAACATTGGTTTTCTAAAAATCAAACTTCATTTACCTAGGAAAATCTCAAAAAGCATGAAACCAAATGCCCCCTTAAAAGAATCCTCAATATCCAAATATGAATAATATGTTTCCAAGTCATTAGCTTGTTTCCTAGTGTGACTTCTTTTACACCACCAACTTGAAACCTATTAATTTATTTCCTTTATATATATGAGTTCATTTTTTTTTGCAGTTACTACAGATAAATTATCTGCAGTATGCCCAATACGACATTATTTTGGTACAGAAATCATGATATCTTTGTAATTTTAATTTATTTCAAGGTTATTACAATTTTTATAATTATAATTTTTTAATCTTTCAATCTCAAAACAACGTCGTTTTAAAAGTAAATGCAGATAACTTATCTGCATTAACTGTAAAAATATTTATATATATATATATAAATATTTCTGCAGTTACTGTAGATAACTTATCTGCAGTAAGCCCAATACGGAGTCGTTTTGGAACGAAAATCATGGTATTTTTATAATTTTAATTTATTTCAGAGTTATTATAGTCTTTATAATTATAATTTTTTAATCTTTCAATCCCAAAACGACGTCATTTTGGAAGTAAATGTAAATAACTTATCTGCATTAACTGCAGAAATATTTTTCTGATATATATAAATATATATGGGTTTAGTATGTGTCTTTTTAAAAAATGTAAGTTGTGTCTTTTTAGTGTTTTATGCTATGTACTTCCGATATTACATAGTTATAACATGAAAATTTGCTTTTTTTTTTCATTTTCCTCGTCTGCTGCTCATGTGACTGATGAGAGAAAAAAAAGTAATTTTTCATGTTATAACTATGTATTACCAGGAGTACATAGAGTAAAAAACCCTAAAAATATACAACTTACTTATTTTTAAAGCACAAATAATTTTCCATATATATATGGTTTACGTTTCTGCAGCTACTGTACGTGCAACAATCAAATACTTGCCATATATATACGTGAAAGCATTAAATGCGGGAGATCACAACTATACAAAAGATGAAAGTATTAAATGTGAAGAATCATAACCATACACCTGTCGTTGTTGTACGTAAAACGGCTGCAGAAATGATTTTAGCTATATATATATATACATATATTGTATATATTTATATGTACGTTTGGGTTCTTTTAAATGATGTAAGTTGTGTTCTTTTAATTTTTTTCTCTATATGCTTCTGGTAGTACATCGTTATAATATAAAAAGTTACTTTTTTCACTTTTCACATCAGCTGATGTGACTGAGAAGAAAGAAAAAAACAATTTTCATATTTTAACTATGTATTACCAGGAATACATATAGTAAAAAATTAAAAAGACACAACTCACATTCTTTTAAAGAACAAATAATTTTCTATATATATATATATATATATATATATATATATATATATCTATATATGTATATGGGTTTTATAATTCTCATTCAACATGAGAATTGAAATCTTCCTACACATCATTCGATTTTTTTGTGCTGACGTGGATCCTACACAATTTTTTTCTGACATATCTATCCCACATGTTTTTTGTCTCTACAACATAAGATTTCAATTCTCATATAACTTGAGAATTATAATATATATATATATATATATATATATATATATATATGGAAAAATTATACTTACAACCTATTTTCGTTTACAATCTTTTACAACCATATCTTAACCGTTGATTTCCTCCAATCAACGGGTTGTCATTTATTGCGAATTAATAATTAATTAATTAATTTGATTTGCGAAGATCTTAACCGTTGATTGACGAAAATCAACGGTTAAGATATGGTTGTAAGAAGTTGTAAACGAAAATAGATTGAAAATATAACATTATCAGATATATATATATAGGAAAAAATATTTCTCAAGCTGCTTGAGACAATGTTATCTTCGGCCATCCCAAAACTACGTCGTTTTGTTTATTTATTTCCTTATATTAATTGATTCACCTTTAAATGGTTATGATTCACTTTCTCTCTCTCTTCCTTTATCACCATTGATTCATCTTCGTACGGATATGATTTAGTAGCCGGAGATAACATTTAAAAGCAGCTTATGATAAGCCCTCTATATATATATATATATATATATATATATATATATATATATATATATATATATATATATATATATAGAGGTTTATTATTTCTCAAGCTGCCGGAGATAAAGTTATCTACGACTACTAAATCATAATCGTACAAAAATAGATCAATGGTGATAAAGGAAGAGAGAATAACCATTCAAAGGTGAATCAATTAATATAAGGAAATAAATAATCAAAACGACATGGTTTTGGAGTGGCCGGAGATAAATTTATCTCAAGCAGCTTGAGAAATGTTTTTCCCATATATAGATATATATGGTGTTTTAGTAAAATACATATGATAAAAAATAAAAAAAATTACGAAAACACCTTTCATTAATTTACCTAAAATTACATAAACACCATTCATTAATCAAAGCGACGTAGTTTTTGGGATAGCTGTAGATAACCTTATCTAAAGTTGTTGTAGAAATGTTTACTCCACATATATATATAGGAATTTATGAATATTATGTTACACGATGAAGCTTACATCATGTTACACTCACAATGCAAGTGGGCCCCACCATTTTCTTATTTTCTGTTTTTTGATAAAAACTTGTGGGACCCACTTGTTTTGTGAGTGTATCATGATGTAAGCTTCATCATGTAACATAATATTCATAAATCCCATACATATATATATATATATATATATATATATATATATATATATATCCTTTGACACCGGTGTCAAATTTCAAATTTGACACCTCATCTGAGAGCCGTCAGATCAAAAAAGATCAACGACTCTGATTTGCAAGCATGTGACACCATTGATCTTTTTCGATCTGACGGCTCTTAGATGAGGTGTCAAATTTGAAATTTGACACTAGTGTCAAATGATCCTACCTATATATATATATATATATATATATATATATATATATATATATATATATATATATATATATATATATATATCTTGGGGACAAAAAACAAGCACGCGTTTATGGATTGAAAAAAAGGGAAAAAGATCTTTTTTGTTCATTTTCTCGTGTTGTTCTCATTAATCATGTTGCTAACGTTTTCAGCCTCGTTATCAGTATCCTCTGTGTTTTGCCATGGGGCAAAATTGAAAGTCACCTAAATATTTTCTTCATCGACCCAAGAATCTGATCCTGCAGATGATTCCCTGTGCTTTCTGTGAAGAAAACAACACACCGCCGCACTAAAAGAACTTGGATTACCGTGAGGTCCCTCTCATTTACTGGCTAGTTCGGAATCATGAACCAAATCAACTTCCTCACGTGTGTATTACTTTATAATACAAAATCTTACCCGAATTGCGCAAGATTTGGTAATTAAAAAATTGTTACGTTCCTTTCGTTCAAAAAGAAGTTTTTTGATAAATATTCTATGAATTGATTTCCAAATCTGGTACGTTTTGTTAATATAATTTTAAAATAATTATTCAAAAATAATAATATGAAAAATGAGAGTTATTTCGTACACACGAATGTTTGAAATATATAAAATGTCATTTTGAATGATGCCATAACAACAAAAGAAGCTAATTCGTGTGTCATTTCATAAAACGACAGAGAGAGAGAGTACTATTCTTTAAACTTTGTCATGTGAGAACGAACTTTTTAATTTTATGTTAGAACTTAGAAGGGTCATTTCACGTAGTGCCTTAATTAACTTTCCGCGGGTGAAAGATCAGATCTCTGTCACGTTAGCTACTGACCAGACCCGATGACACAATTGTCCCATCAGCAACCCTACTACTAACAAATAGCATGTTACAATTAAATTTTGGTTCCTAAATTTGCTCTTCAATATTAAAGGCTTCCTCACTCACCGTAAATCTTCCTAAATAATTTATTCTTTATTAGCCATATAGATTAGCAATCCAGATTCCGGATAGAAGAATTTCCAGAGAGCCAAGCTAATTTCTTGTGAGGGCCTGAATTTACGCCCACTCTTAGTCGTTCCCTAAAGTTCTTAAGACAAACTACAATTTTTATTTTTATTTTGAGAGATATTCCAATTAATTCATCGTTTCATGAATAGTCCAATTCAGAGTGAATTCCGGAATTAAATCTTTACATTCTTTAAAAAAATGATATTGAAAAGAATCAAACACTTGCTTCTAGATTGAAGAAGGTGAGTGGAAAGCAGTACGGTAGAGAAATAATAATAAAAAGGAAGGAGGAGATGACAAAAACCATGCACCTGCTGCTTCGACAAACCAAAACCCATCAAAAATCCCTATAGCAAATAATCCACTGATTGACCATATTTAAAGCAATAAGATCAAAGCAAATCTTTATTTTCCTTAACAATTTTCTGTCTTACATCAACATCAGAGTCATAATATTTTTTCAACTCCATCTATCTATAAATCAAGTTACTGTCATTAAACACTTACTTATCTAAGCCTATTGGTTCCTACACTCTCGAAATCCTAAGACAAAGTCATGACTCTCGTATCATTTGAGAGTTTGTACAAGAAAAAACCTCATTTACTAAGGGACTGAAAGTTCTGCTTAAGTGAAACATATACAGCCATGCACCCTACTGTTGCGTCAATTTTCACAGCGCGCAGCTTTATTTACATTAACACAAAACTGTAAAAAACTTGGGGATATGCAAATATCCGGAGGAGATCTAAAGGTCCACACACAAGTAGGAAATGACAGGGCCTGCTCTCCGCTTGGTCCGCTGGCTAACCTTCGATTTCTCAACAAGGACCTTTTTTATGTTGGGACAGCTAGAAACCACGGTGGCCACTCCAGCTGAAGTTATACCAGAGCAATAAACCATGTGGCATGACTCCAGCAAGGTGCAACTTTTAACAAGATGGGCTAGACCAACATCTGTTATTTGACGGCAGTGTGAGAGTACTATTTCTTTAAGCAATGGACAGTGTTCTCCCAACTCAGCCATCGCCATGTCACCCAAATTCTGCAATTGTATTGAGCAATGTAATGCAAATAGGAAGGAAAGCAGAACGAAGAAGTAGTAAGACTTCGTTAGAGTATAGTTTGCAAGTTGACCAGATCAGAGGTTATTGTATTAAAACTTTAATATGCACCCCTTATCTCGAGCTCCTTTATACAGATAGTACACGAACCATAGGGCAGTTCAGTAAACTGTTTCTACCACATTACTGAAGTAAAGTAATCTTCCTCACTTCAGAGAACTTCCATGCTAATATTATGCCTTAAAGCAAAGGTTTGGTAACATGATGTCTCCAAGACATACTAATACATATGCAGTCACTGACCATGTGTGTTTCGTCAACAATATTTTAGTAAAAACTATAACTGAATCAAGAAATTCCTAATAAGGAATGAAAAATAAAATGCAAATAACAAAGGGCTATAATAAACTAAAAAGAGAGACATGAATACGCACATGCAGCACACTAACGTCCAAATAACAGAGTTGAGGGGACCCCCTTGCAATGGCTATCACTCCAGCATCTCCAATTTGGTGGCAGCCACTAACGTTCAGATAATGAAGGGAACAACCCTCGGCTATAGCAATGAGGGCCTCATCCCCCACCCTAGTAATTTAACAAAGGGGTTAAGGTAGATATCATCCACAAAGATGTTCAGAGGTACTACAAACTCTAATATTATAATAACAATAATTAAAAAATTAGAATACAATGCATGTAACTAAGATGATTTCAGTGGAGAGGAAGAATTAAAGAAAACTACAAATAAGGTTTTACCTATCACAGAATCGAATGCTAAGATCAGTTAGCGACTTACAGTGCCCGCCAACAGCAATGATCCCCTCGTTCCCAATCTAATACAGGGGAAAGAAAGCAAGAAGCATCCTTAGAAAGAGCAAAAAATTATTAAATCTATGTCATAAAACCTCAATGTGATAACAAAAAGTTGGTTTACTGCTTTACATTGGATAAGTGATAAAAATTCATTTTCAAGTTTCATGCTACTCTCAACTACTTTTTCTATATTCCTCTCTTTCATTTAGGAGAAAAAACAGCAGTGAACTCTTTGAGATGTGAATAATTTAATCATATCATAGTGTACAGAGGACGGGCCTAGAGTTGATAACGTTTAAATAATGAATAACCAAAGCAATGCATATTATGCTAAAAGCCAAAATAATAAGGCATAGCACCTTGCCTTAAAAGGAAGGAGACAGCAAAGGAACAGTTAGCTTGCACAATTGCCTATAATCTTGTCTTGGTAACAGAAAAAATTGTCATTTATGGCAACATTTAAAAGCCACAAAAATGCTAAAGAAGGACATATAATTACAGCTTATAATTCATTGATTCTATGATACAATGTAGTCTATCCCCTGCTTAGAGCAACCTGCTATCTGTTGGCTCAAAATCCAAGACAAAAGACTGGAAGTAGTTATTCAATAAACAGGGAACCTTGACCAAAATCACTGCAAATGGAAGTGATGAATCATGAAAACAACAAAAGAAATTCCTCTTCTTTTTTCTTTAGTGGGACAGAGTGAGGAGAGAAAGAGACAGATAGTTAGGATATCTTGTGTAGACTTACTTCAGAGAAAAGTGCATTTTAAATGAAAGAATTAATTACTTTTGGAAGAACCAAGTTTTGTATCTGGAAATGTTCATCTAAAAGTAAGCTTGTAAGAATAAGTTGCGTTTGGATTGGGTTGGTAAAATTATTTTTGAGTGTGAAATCACCAAAAGAAGTATAAATTATTTTAAAATATTATTTAGATATTATAATTAAGGACAAATTTTGTAAAATCGTGTATAATGTGTGCCCAGATTAATTCTGGTCAAAATGACACAATGCCATTCTCCTAGGTTGCAAGGTGCAAAATACATTTTGAAAGCGAACCATCCAAAAAAAAAAAGACAGCAGCTTGAAAACAAAAATGAAGTTACACATACAGAATGACGTTTTCACACAGAAAACCAAACATGCACACCTCATAACAGCGACGGATGTGAAGTTTCTTTAAATTCCTGCAGCCACTAGCTATACCACGCATGGCTTCATCTCCAATGTTTGAGCAATCTACCAAGTGAAGAGCTTGCAAGAATTTGCATCCCTGTCCAACCTGAACAAGGGCAAGATCACCAATTCTTTGGCAGTAAAGCAATTGTAACTCAGAGAGGTGTCTGTACATAGAAAGCTAAGATTAGCATCATCGATGAAAGATCAATGGAAAAATTCAACATTTTGGAACTTGTGTTATAAAATATTATGTCAATATCATGAGTTAATATTCAGATATAGGACCAGAGCATGGAAATCTGTCTTTCAGATTTAGGCATTTCTTTAAAAGTTAAATCCTTTAAGTGGAGCTTGCACAAGATTCATAAGAATAAGGTGGATGATAAGATGAACACAGAGTGAAGTTCACACAAGACTGATAACTAAAATACCCAAAATCCCTCAGGTCAAAATTTTTTTTAACTGATGTTTAGCATGCTGGTGAAACAATATTGACATGTTCATCAAATTTCCAAAAGCATTTAGATCCAAGAGTATATTATTTTACTACAAAATGAGCCTGGTAGCAGCACCAACAGGCACACAGCAATGTCAGCAGAAGCAGTCTCTCCGGTTCACATTGATTTTGGGAGAGGTAGACTTGTTAATGAATATATGCATACTCTGAATGTATTGTTTAGGATTTTGTCTTTGCAGCTTACACTGGGAATACTTCGTCAACTTTTAAGAGTGCATGTACAAGTACAACACCAAAGGAGGATATGAATATATGCAGTTATACACACACACAAACAAACAAAAATGGCATGCAAGGTAAAGCAAAACATCATAAGATTAATTAAATATCATAAATCTTGTCAGATAAGGAGAGACCAAGAGGCTAAACATAAGTCTCCTCATGTTGCTTGCTCCTTGAACAGTTATCCAAATTCATACGCTGATTCTTTCTTAAAAGTGGAGTTTGTTGCATTTACGAGTACCAGTCCATGCATCAATAATATTTTTACACAATTTAGCTCAGAGAAAAACATACTGGCAAGATTTTCCAACAGATTCTAGCCCCAAAGTTCCAATGTTGTGGCATCCATTGACTTCAAGATGAGTAAGTTCCTTGCAGCCAGTAGCAATTGCTTCCAAACCCTTGTCACTTAGGAAATAGCAATCACTTAAAGTCAAATTCTTTAGCTTCTTACATCCATTCCCTATAGAACTCAGACCCCTGAATATAGGACATTATTAAAAGAAAAAAAAAATATTACTAACAAAACCGGGAAAAAAAAATAGAAAGAATCTTTAGCAAAAGAAAAATTAATAATTAGAGACATGAGAAAAGATTGTCCCACATGTACTACTGAAAGACTGCAATTTACACCCCATTAAAGGTCATATAAAAGGAAAATGAAAAAAATACAACAAGCAAGTCTTTTCCCACTAGATGGGTTCGGCTACATGGATCAAATGATGCCATTGGCTCTATCAAAAATCAGAATTTAAAATATAATCAAGAAAAAGGAATTGTTAGAACAGTTTCTCCTAAATTGATCGACCCCCCAAATGGTTCATCAAATAGCAACATAAGAAAAGAATTAGTTAGTTGTACTAAGCCAAGTGCATCTCATATTATATCATACGAAATAATATTGAGCATTGTAATTTTGAGTGAATTCAACCATAGTCAAATGAAGTAAAATCTAGACAAAGCAATCATGAGAAAGAAGCTCACTTATCAGTAAATCTCTGAAAACTATAGAGAGCCAATAACTCCAGAGACAAACAACTACTGCCCACAGCTTTCAAAGCATCATCTGTAAGATTAATACACTGCAGCTTTAGAACTTTCAAATATGGGCATCCTTGAGCCACAGCAAACACCCCTTGATCGTGGATGAACTCAGAGTCCAACGACAAGGTCTCAAGGGATCTGCAGTGTGATCCTACAGCTTCCATTGAGAAGTCAGTTATTTTGGCACAAGCTGCTACACCAAGGGATTTTAATGATTTTCCCACGCCTAAGGCTAATTCAACCAAACCCACATCAGTCAAGCCTTCACAGAAACGCAGATTCAAATCGTCAAGTTGCTTGCAACACTGTCCAACAGCAGCCAGACCTTGATCTCCAACATAACAACCCTAAAGGAAAACTCCAGCAATTACAACAAGAAGATAAATATGCATCATTCATGCCATTTAACTTGCAGAATCGTGGATATTGATAGAGTGGAAACTGGCAAGGCAAAGGATGCATTTATAGGGAAAACGGGTATTGGTGTCATAAGTTCAAATGCTTCAGAAGAAGACATCGACACTGATCAACTAGCTGTTCGATAAAAAAAAGAATAAGTGCCCTTTGGGCCTTAAGATATTAGCGAAGCTTAACTTTCATTCCAAAGCACTTACATAGAAACTTTTAATTTTCAAAGAAGTATTTTTTATTTTTAGTTTTTGAAATTAAAAAGCAACTTCTATGATGTGATTTCACAAGGACACCAGCAACTGCTGCTAAACAATTGCAAACAGAAATCAAAGTCGAATTAGCTGGAAAATAAAAAGAAAAAGAAAAAATAAAAAAACCTGCAAGTCCAATGCTTTCAAAGAAGTGCATTTCCGAGCCAGTGATGTTAATCCCTCACTAGTGACATTAGAACACCAGATTAACTTGAGCGTCTCAAGCTTAGGAAAGCCTTCGGCGAGAGCAGCCAATCCAGCATCAGAAAAACTGAGTGAATTAAGTTCGCTCTCCTCAGAGATAGAACCATTTTTCTCATTCACACGACGACGCGGCTTCATCGCACGCTTCATCTGCGATGAAGCGTGCGATGAACCATTTTTCATCTGCGATGAAGCCTTAGTATTGTCGGTTCCCCGTCTTCTCCCCTGTTCAAATCGAAACAAAAATAAAATTCATCATAAAGCAAAGCAAAACAAAACGAACAAATCAAATCTCCGATCCAAAGGCGAATTGAGGTTATTGGACTCACGAGGAGAGAGGGCAGCGAAATGGAGAGGCGCTCATCGATGTGGACGGTGGTGACGTTGGTGAAACTGGCAGCGAGGAGGTGAACGAAGAGGTCAGGGGAACCGGTGGCGCCGATTCGGATGGCGGCTCGTGTTAGACGCTCGAGGCGGCGCCAGCGGGTGCAGACGAGGGAGCAAGCGTCGCGGCTCGATTTCGAATCGAGGCGGCGGAAGATCTCGATTATTAACTCGTCGGGAAGAGAGTTGTTGATCCAATCGTGGCCTCGCATCGAATCACTTCCAACAACAACAACAACAAAAACAACTCTGATTCAGATTGCAAAGAGGATTAAGGTTGACGGTGAATGCAGTAGATCCAGTTCCCTACGGTAAGCTATGCTGCGGTAATACGGTTACTCTCTGTCTTTCTCTGAGGGAGGGTGGCATTTAACACGGGCCCTCCTTTTCTATATATATATCTTTTTTTCTTTTTCCTTATCCATATTTAGGTTATTATATATGTAAGAGTAATATATATATATTTTTGCAGTGGATAATAGTAGATTAATGTTTCTTACAATTTGAATACATTTTCGCTTTGTTTTGCTGGTGTGAGTGTTAAATTTATAATTTGAGTTTTGGCCCTGTGGACCTTTATACATTGACTGTTTGGGATAAATGACAATTTGAAGTGCATAAAAGCTGAAAAAAATAAATATAGTTTACCTTCGCATTGAAGTTTGAAGGCGTTTATTATAGCATTTATTCATGATGGCGCCGAGCAAGTAAAGCTTGCTTCTCGAATGTCATTGAAGCGGCGAAAAAAAAAAATAGTTGTATCTTAATATTTTCATGAATGTAATTATCTATGACCATTGGCCTTTTCATGAATTACATTATTAATTAAAAGGTTCAGTTTGGCCGGGTATAATCTTAAAGGGAAATGATAGTCTCATGCTACATAAGATATCTATCTCATGTCATATACTCATAGAATTTTGTGCCAATTTTTTCTTTTCTTTTTTCCTTTTTCTTTTTAAATTGTGGACCCCACATATTTGTATCACTCACATTAGATAGTACTCTCATGTAACATGAGATTAATAAACCCCAATCTTAAATCCCAATCCAATACGCTCCCTAAAATAAAATTATCAAATAATTTGGCCAGGTAATATTAAAATTATTTAGTCAAACTTAACATCATCTAATTTCTACACATTCTTCTCCATCTACAACATTCCATTTGATTTGATATTCGAGACTTTCTTCCACGATGAACACTTGCAATTGTTTTGCATTTTCCATTCCTTATGACTACGGGGGTTAGTGAAATTGGAGCGACGATAGCCACGTGGACAATAAAACAAATGAGATAGTTCGAATTTCGTGACAAAATAAAATTTATAATTAAGAAAAGCAGCAGCTCCTAAATATTTTTATTTAAGGTTTATAATACGGTCTTGATTGTGAAAAATAAGGAGCAAAAATTGAAATCGGATGACGATGAACGGTTTCATTATTGTTGATGACGACGATGACTCATAATCATGATGAATAATTGAAATCGAAAAGAGAAAATTGAAAAGAAGAAGAAGAAGAAGCACTACAAAAGTAGCAGCATTTTCTTTTCCATCCCAACAACAGGAACCGGGGGGGAGAGAGAGAGTGTGTGGAGCGATCATCATCATGTCGTTCTCGTTCTTTAAGGTTTCGAGGCCTAAAACGCCGCAGGAGGTGGCCAAGTCCATTAGGGAGAGCCTCATGGCCCTCGATACCAAAACCGTTGCTGAAGTTAAAGCCCTTGAGAAGGTAAGCTTCTTCTTCTTCTTCTTCTTCTTCTTCGCCTACTTAACCCCCCTGCCCACATGAGATTCACTCGTGTAATTGGCACCTTTTTTATCCAAATTCTCAATGCTCTATCTGGGTCTTAGTTTTTTTAGTTAAATATTCACTCTTGAATGGTGGGTACGTCTTGAAATTCTCATATTTAGATAGATGATTTTAGATACCCAAATGTGTAGTGTGTTTTGTGCAATAAAAATCTCATATTTTACCCGAAAGCCAGTTATTCTTATATGTAACTTGCTGTTATATGAGTAGTTTTGTTTGAGAAACAATCATGATGCAATTATACGTTACAGAAGAGATTCCAACTTGCTAGTGATCAGCTTTCTGAAGTACGTTACATGTTTCCCAAATAGAGGAGGGTACTCTGATTTCCCAACTTTGAAATTGGCTTGCTTTTTCCTTCTGTGTTGTTGATACATAATTCTCTCTGTACATAAGGTCCTTTCTGTATTCAAATCTGTTATGGTGTCTGTTAAAAAAACTCTTTCAATTTTGTGACACTGAAATAATTAAAAACTGTTCAGAGTAAAATAATATACAGAGCATTAAGCCAGCGACTTCTAGGATATATTGCTGCATTTTGTTGGGGTCATCTCTGGTAATGGTACATGTGATGGTTGCAGGGTATGAACTTGGACATTTAACACTCTTCTAAGTTATACAGCATCCACAAAACAAACAATAAGGTTAGTCTTAAAAATAAAAACACGGTTTCTTATTACAAACTGGGATTTAAACAACTCTTTTATATCAGGTTAATCATCTAAAAGGATTATGTCAGAGAGGTCGCTCCATAGTGTTTCTTCTATCTTAGGCTTGCTTCTAATTGTTACCATTTTTGTTGTAGATATTTATGTCAGCGAGAAGTAAAATAAAGAATATGTTTCAGAGATATTAAATATTAAGCCTTTCTGTAACTTGCTGATACTCTAGGGGTTACTAGTTTATTGATGCTTTTCGTGCTTTATTGTAGGCGTTAGAGGAAGTTGAGAAGAATTTTGTAACAATGAGAACCATGCTTTCTGGAGATGGAGAGTCAGAACCAAATTTGGATCAGGTATCTCAGCTAGTGGAGGAAATCTGCAAGGAGGATGTTCTTACTCTTCTAATTCACAAGCTGCCTATACTTGGATGGGAAGTAAGATTATGATTGATACCAAACTCTACCTCGTGCAGTTGACTTATCTGGTTTCTCATCATTGATGTGTGAATTTTGATACAGGCAAGAAAGGATTTAGTCCACTGTTGGTCCATTTTATTGAAACAAAAGGTCGACTCCAATTATTGCTGTGTAGAATACATTGAACAACACATTGAGTTACTAGACTTTCTTGTTGTATGGTAAGCTTTTTACTGCATCATCTTTTTTTGCACCAACTTTGAACTGCATTTGCTCCCTTTCTTCACTCGTCTCTTAATGGTGAATCTTTATCTTTCCTAGTTGTATTCAAGTTGGAAGACTGAAGCTGATGCTATATGCCAAATTAAGAACATGAGAGATTTTGGTTTTTCTTTATTTCAGTGTCTTTTGTATCCTTATAACTTTATAAATGATATAACAATCACTCCCCATTAAACCCCGATTAGCGAGGATCAGGTGAAGGCAATCTTTGTAGGCAGCCTTATCCTTGCATAATTGCAAAGAGATTGTTTTCTGTATTTGAACCTGTGACCTTTCAATCACAAAAGAGCAGTTTTACTACTACTCTAGGCTTGCCCTCTTTAACTTGATAAATGATTTGGTCTTTGAAAATTTTGGTGAAGGATTACATTTGGATTTTTTTTAATTTTGTGAAACTGATATCTCCAATTAGTTTGGGATAAAGGTATTGTTGATGTTGTGAAACTGATATCACAATGATGAAATTATACTGTCATGCTTTTAAAAGTTTCTGACACAAATCATGGTAAAAAAATGGGATTTAGGTAAACGCAGACGGAACCTACTTCTGATTTTCGCATAATTTATTTTTCCCTTTATCATTCAAATTTGACCAAATTACCGAGAATATTTACGAATTGTGACATAACATGCCCCGTATTCTATCCCCTTTTCATGGAAAGTTTATTTCTCTTTCATCAACACTTTAAAGATAATAATCTCAGGTATAAATTGATTCTTGCAAAATGAGTTCTTTCAAAATCAATAATTGCAAAGGTGATTTTTCTAAAATCAGGTATCTTACTGCAATCTGAAACACATTTAATTTCACTCTCTACTTTAGTAAACAATTATCTAGCTATATGTGATCAATGTTATTAAATATGATTAGTTTAAATACTTGCTCACAACATCTCTGTATCTGTTTCCAAGCAGCTATGATAACAAAGAAATTGCCTTGAGCTGTGGCATAATGTTGCGAGATTGCATCAAATTTCCAACACTTGCTAAGTAAGATATTTTGGGTTGTTATTATTTTTTCTTTTTCCTAATTTTCTTTTCCCTAATCTTTTTCATTTTTCTGATATCATCATGTTCATTTTAGACTTAGAGCCTGTTTGGATTCTCTTATTTTTAAGCTAGAAGCTACTTATAAGCTAAAGCTAAAAAAAAGAGCTTAAAAAAATAAGCTAAAAGCTGTTTGGAAATTACATAAAAGTTTTAGCTTAAAAATTAATTAAAAGCACATATTTCAAGAAAATTATCTCTCTCTTTCTCTTTATCACTCTTCATTTTAAAAAAAAGCACACAATTCAAGAAAAATAGATAACAGCTTAAAAAAAAGCTCCTCCTAGGAGCTTTTAGTTTTTCAGCTTTTTTCTTCATTATAAAAAAAAGAGCTTTTCTCAAAACCTGTTTGGCCTAGCTTATGCTTATAAGTAGCTTCTAGCTTAAAAATAAGAGGATCCAAACAGTCACTTAGATTTATCCTGCCAAGGTTTTGAAGTGGATATTTATAAAAGTATCTGCTTTAAAATACTTGTGCATTAGTAGGCCTAATAAAATTGGATTGAATAAGAGACTCTTTTAGATTTATTACAAGAAAAATATACAGAACTTTCCTGTACTGTAACAATAAATATAGTGCATAAATAATGGCATATTCGTAATGCTTGGATGAGCTTCTCCGTATAGTTGGCATTCTTGCTTGTCGTTGTTGTTCCAGGCTCCAGCATCACTATGGCTTTATGTTTTGCCATTTCCATCCATTATTTGTAATTTCCTACTCAGACTATGGTCCTAAGGATATTGTAACATTGGAATAACTTCTTGAGTTTGAGCTTGAGGATCATGAAACTCATTTGTCAAAAAATTAATTATTTTAGATGTAAAAATTAACAGATGATTATAAATATCAATGTGCATTTTGAGGCTGGTGCTTGTCATGCAATCTATCCAGAAGGCAAGTCAGTTACACTGTTTTAACTTCTTCTTTTTTGACGGTGTTTTTCAGATATATATTGGAATCTGCAAGCTTTGTATTGTTCTTTAAATTTGTAGAGTTGCCTAACTTCGATGTTGCTTCTGATGCATTTTCTACCTTTAAGGTAAGATCTGAATCCCCCCTCTTTCTTTTCTTTAATTCCCTTTAGTTATCTTACTGATTGTAGAGCTCTACGTGCCTCTTATTCATAGTCATACATCTCTGTGGATATGCTTTACAGGATCTTCTTATTAAACATGGAAACGTTGTCTGTGAATTTTTGACAGCTCACTATGATGAGGTTTGTTTCCTCCTTGGCATATTTATCTGAAACATATCAAAGCAGCACAAAACGCTGCTTGAGAAATATTTATTCATGTTGGTTGAATATTTACACCAAGGAGATCAAATCTCTTGGAGAATAATTTAACCATCCGAGTAACTGTTCTTTATGAGATAGTTAAATGCGCCTACCCTCATCTTTGAACATGCTCATGGTGCATACTGCAAACACAATCATTGGGGCAGTTTTATCTCCCATGTTATACTTCAGCTTTTCTAATAGGACTTCTTGTTCCCAGTTCTTTGATCTATACGAGAAACTCTTGACATCTCCTAATTATGTCACAAGAAGGCAGTCTTTAAAGGTTTGTTCTGGGTTCTGGCAACAATATTCAATGTTTTTGCCTGGTCTTCTTTTTGATTTACATGATTTTTAACAACTAAATTTATGTGGATTTTAGCTTCTCTCGGAATTTCTCTTGGAATCTCCCAATTCTCGGATAATGAAGCGCTACATCTTAGAAGTTCGTTACCTGAAAGTCATGATGACATTGTTGACGGTATAACTCCACTTAATCATGTGTCCTTGTGTGATATTCCTGTTTTTACCCATGACTAATGAACATGCTCACGTGATTCTCAGTCAATTTGTTTTACTTGTTATGCTATTCCTGTTATATGCAGTATGCACAACTCAACATGTTTCTTGTTTCTGTGGAGTGTTGTATAGCTTGTTTCTCTGGTATCTTCATCTGTATATACAGTGAAAAGTAGTTTATCTTATCTCTTAGCTTTGTTTTACTGTTTTGTTTTATATCACAAGAACAGGCAATTACATGTAATTTCCTAAGTTCCGGTTTATTGTGGTATGTTTTATCTTAATTGATTTGTCAAGGAGAGAAGCACTGTTTGAATACATACCCTTTTGATAATTCATGGCTTTAGGATGATTTCGTAGTTGGTTATTAACATCTAGTCAGTTTTCTCATACGCAATGTTATTGCCTTATTGGTGTGAAACTTGAGATATACATCATAACATCACAACCACTGGAGAACACAAATATTAGTGCTTATGGATGCTCTAAGGCAGTGAATGTTTGGCAACGGAGTGCCAATAAAAGCAAAAACTAAGTGTAGTGGTTGTGATGTTATGATGTATATCTCAAGTTTCACACCAATAAGGCAATAACATTGCGTATAACCAAACTGACTTAGAGCACCTATTTGGAGAAGATGATTAAAACTTGTCAAAGGTGGTTGAGTCATGTGAGAGGAAGACCAATAAAGACTCCAGCGAGAAAAAAAATGATTAAATGGAATATGGCTCTTTTAAAAGAGATAGAGGGAGATTTAAGAAGACTTTAGGAGAAACCATTAAAATAGACCTTGCTGTTGGTGGTTTTACTGGAATTTTAGTTTTTGATAAAACCCAATGACTTCGATTGATCCATGTGACTGACTTCACCTATTAGAATAAGGCTTGGTGTTCTTGTACTCTACCTGCTTGGCATGCCAAACAGCCAATACTATTAATCTTTAATGCAATGAAGAGCATCTGAAGCTATATTATGCATGATTTTTCAAGTTTTCATGCATGCAAAAAGCATTGTTTGTGTTTTACCTTCTCTTTCGATTGGCTGTTTACTCTTATGTATTTATTTGTTATGTTTTGGGTTGAGCAGGATTCAAGTAAAAACATTCAGTTATCAGCTTTCCACATTTTCAAGGTGATTTTTCCCCTTCATGCTTTGAAGTTTATATAATGACCTCATCCTTTTGTAGGTTTTAAAAAAAAATCTAACCAGATTATGCCTGCTAATTGAATGTAAATGGGATTTTTCAATCCCATTCTTGTAAACTTCGGTATCCTTAAAGACCTGGAGTACTCTTGCATTTATCATGTTTGCAGAAATGAGTTGGAATTTTGGTTAATGGCAGGTTACATTATGATTTGTGTTAATGCATTTAAATGAGTTGACAAAAGAGACTTTAATGAATGTATGGAAGCACATTGGTTTCTTGTTTAACGATATGCTATTACTGGACAAGTATTGAAAGGGTGAAATTCCAATAGATTTCCTGCATGAGTCAATAGTCCAGCTAAGTTTCCTGAGACTAATTATGAGCACAATCTATCTGCTCCCTAATGGCACCATCTAAACAATCTCTTATTCGATAATTGAGATAGAATAAATAACTATATTTGGTCAATGCAGAAAGTTCCTGAAGGCTCTTCCTCTCACTTCTTTCAGAATATTAAATGCTGGACATCTTATAGTTTTTATTCCAAGGGTTTTTATGTTTTTGTTATTTAAATTATTCCCTTAAACATAAAGATTTGGTATGGAGATGAAAATCTATATTTTGTTTTAAATCTTCTAACATGTTTATCCAGGTTTTTGTTGCTAATCCTAATAAGCCTCGAGAAGTAAAAATTATTCTGGAGAAGAACAAGGAGAAGCTGCTAGAATTGCTTCATAATCTGTCTCCGGGAAAAGGTTATTATTATACTTTCAGTAATGGATTGATTTGAAACCTACAATTACATAATATTGTTTTAAATTTCCAATACATGTTTCTGAATAATTGAATAAATGTTTTTTGAGTCACTGGTTTTAGCATTTACGCCGTTTTCAGGTTCAGAAGATGAGCAATTTGAGGAGGAAAAGGAGTTTATCATCAAGGAAATTGAAAGACTATCAGGATAAGTCATTTATTCTACTGCAGCTGTGTTTGATTTCATAACAAAGTTTTTTTTGTTAAAAAAAACGTGTACATCCAAAGCTAATTTAATGCAAGGATTTCATATTGCTGTTTGAGAGCAACTAATGTGTTGGAAGGTCCAAGGTTTTTTATGTGGACAAGACACCAAAAAAGTATTTGTAACATAGTTATCCGTATCTTACGATATACAATACGATTCATACGATACGAATCACAAGCCCAACGATACGTATTGTGGGATGTATCTGAAAGGAGTTTGTATCTTACGATACGATACGTGTATCATACGATACAAAAGTTAAATCAAAATTTGTAATTTTTAATATAAAAAAAATAAAGATTTGATTTGTGATTTAAATTAAAAAAAACTAAAAGGATCCTTTTTGAAAGAGGATGATGGATTAGTTATATCATTCATTAGATGCTGATAGTAATAGCAGTAATAATATTAATTCTAATGATTGATAAGTAAGAAAATAACTGGTTTGCACTTTAATTATTTCTGTACTTTGTTTATTGAATTCTTTTTGGAATTTGGATTTATATAATTTTAATCATATTATATATTTTAAATTATTTTTTTATATTTTTGTATCTTACGATTCACGATATATGATACAAAAAATCGGTCAAACGATATACGATACGTATTGCGATTCAATAAGGTTTGTAATATAAACTAAATTAGAAGTATCAACGAAGAATGTGCTCTTAAATTGATAGATAGGGATGTGCATGGATAGGTTTAGAAAGTGAACCGAACTGATCCTAAATAATCCGGTAATATAATTTGAATTTTTGAACTGAACTTGTTTAGATTTTATTCATTTGGTTATGCTATGTAAAAATCGGTTGATAACAGGTTCAGAACAGGTTTTTATCTCAAATCCAATTTAAAACCAAATTTTATCAGGCAGAAACCCCAAATTCAAAAAACATCACCGCAACCATTACAGCAATGCTCCTGACCTCTTCAAAATCACAAAACAGCAATCAACTTTATCGTTGTTGACCTCTTGCCACCTCTGATAAAGATCTAAACTGAAGTATGACCACTGTTCTGTCTCTCTCTTTCGTCTACAAATCCTAACTAAGACTGTGTAATCTAGACATTAAAATGTGGAAGGGTCTACAACTTAGGGGAGGCAGTTGGATCATGAGTTAAGAGATGGGGACAAGCCTTTTATTATAATTTAAAACGGTTCAATTATGGATAATCATATTTATTTAAGGTTGGATAACTGATCCATTTTAAAAAATGAAAAACAGTTTGACTTAAAACTGTTTAAAGAAAAAACCGGTTTTTTAGTTATAGATCGGACTAGTTAAGGTTTGGTTTGGTTTAATTGGTTATTTTGAACATCCATGTTGATTGTTGATAGATATAGTAACTATGTGAAGGTGCCATTGATTAACATGTATTTGCCTATGATTAGTTCACATCCTTCTCATCATTTTCCTTCTCTTTTTACTGAGTGTCTTTCTTTTCTTTTTTTTTGGCCAGTAGAACTAAATGTTAATGTAGCCTACATGGTAGAAAAAGGTATGTATAATTAATGTGTTTGGTGTAATGTCATTTTAGGAGAGAGATAGATACAGAAAACGAAAATCATGGGAGAGAGAAAGTGGGTGGTTTTTTTTAATTTAAAATTCAAATTTTCTGTGTCTGTATCTCTCTTAAAATGACATAACTTTCTGTCATTTAAAATGACAAACACTTTCCCCATAATTAATAGAATAGTAAATCAATTAATTGGTAACCAAAGTTTGTAAGTTATTAGTCCTTGAAAAATTAAAATTAACTCGTAGTTAAAATCTTAATTTCTGTCAAGTTTTCACAATGTCAACTTTGCTCCGTTTGAATTAACTAAGTTGTCGATATAGTAAATAAGTTACCTAATTGACAACTGCCAGCTCATACATGGCATTTTATGTTTCAATTAGGCACCAAATTGATCTTGAAAGATTCTCGTGCTGTAATATTAGTTTTTGAAAATGTTCAAATTCCTCATTCTCTAAATTTTCTCCATTTCTATTGTTCTCCATCTCCTTATTTTCTTCATCCCCTTTTTCTTAAAGGTATGTAACGTTACTAGCAATGTTATTAAAAGGGAGATAAGTAAAATCAGAAGGGGATTAAAAAATCGTAAAACGTAAAATCATAAAGTAAAAAAATCATACAAACGTAAAAGCGTTTAAAATATTAGTAAAATCATTTTGATGAAAAAAAATAGTAAAAACATAAAATCGTAATAATAAATCGAGATTTTAACAACAATGGTTACTAGTTCAAGTCTAAAGACAACAAAAATAAAAGACTTGTGTGCATACAGGACCTCTTTAGTATTTGAGTCATTCATTTTAGAATTTGAGTCATATAATATAAGACCTCTTTAGTATTGTCGAAAGCTACTAATAGTGACATTTTCCATATTTAATCAAATGAGATGTTCTCAATTACTTTGTGTTATTATCATCTCATCACATTTAATGTTAAAAAAATTGAAATAGATTCATCTTCCTCTTGTAACTGTTACTATCCACGTCTGTATTGAATTTATTGATGAATGAATGCGGTCATGGTTAATAGAAGAAAACTCAGAAGCACAAAGCTTAAGTGGACAAAATCACATATCAATCAGTCTCCGAAACTCTAACAAACCCGACTAATCTCGTGTGGAGTTTGAGTCTTTCTACATTTCCCAGAAATTGCAATCTTCAGAAATTGAACTCATTACCTATAGTGGATAAGTTAAGTTCTGAGATTTAATTTGGTCGCCACTAAATCAACCATTCTCTATAAAGAACATATATCTTTAAAGAAATGAAAATAAATTATCAAGTATACTTTTTTTTTTTTGTATTATTATATCAAGTATACTTTTATCCCGAATCAATTGGGAAATAAAAATAATAAGACAAGAAAATTAGAAATTTTGGAAAATTCGAAATTTGGAAGTTTTTAAAAACTAATATTAGTGCACGCTAACCTTTTAAAACCAATTTGATGTGTATGTGTGAAACTAACATGCCACGTGAGTATTCCAACTGTCAATTGGGTAGTTAATGTCAACTCAATCGAGCAAAAAGTTGACAATGAGACTAATTTGATTGAAGAATTATTTTTCAAGAATCATAAAATTCATTTTAATTACCAAGTATCCAGTACCTTATATAGATACTTTAAAACTTAAAACAAGATTAAAAAAATAAAGTATATTTTAAAAATATTTAAAATTATACATAATCAATTCAAGTTGAATCTAATAAGGGTTTGGCGTTTGTCATTTTAAATGGCATAAGTTATGTCATTTTATGAGAGAGATAGACACAGAAAAACGAAAATCATAGGAGAGAGAAAGTGGATAGTTTTTTTTAATTTAAAATTTAAATTTTCTGTATCTCTCTTAAAATGATATAATTTTCTGTATCTCTCTTAAAATGATATAATTTTCTGTCATTTAAAATGACAAACACTTTTTCCATTTAATAAATATATTAAAAGAGAAAAAATAAGAATATTAAAAATATACATTAATAAATTAAAATATAAAAATAAAAAATAAAAAAGAAAGTGAATCCTATAATATGATATGATCATGTAAGAAAATTATAATAACCGAGTAAATCAATTATAATAAAGGAAAAAAAAAATTGATACAGCCAATTACAAAATTATCACCTTTAAGTTATCTTTATATTATATAATTGTTATTTCCCCAAATAATCATATAATATTTCATTTGACGATTATTTCCCCTCTAACTTAACGTATAATAAAGAATTTGTGAGGAGTTCTTTGAAATGGAAGGTGGCATTCCGAAGTTGGGAGAAATTGAATTTAATAATCTGATGTGACATTGACGTGAATATGATTACATAAACATAATCATATGCCGTATGCGTTGCGTTGCGGTAAACTCGCAATTCATAAACCCTTTTTAGTTTCAGATAACAACGTTCTTACAAACACCCGTTTCCGCCGCCATGAACTTCTTCAAGGCCGTCTTCTCCGATGAACCCGACCCGCCATCACCCGGATCCGACCACCCCGATCCGTCTCAAACCGCCGCCACCAACGCCGCTTGGAACTTCGGAGGCCTCATCCAAACCCTCGCGTCTAAATCGGAGTCCGTCCTCGACACCTACCGTCGCGATCTTGAGGAATTCGGCTCCAGCTTGAAGAAAGAGACGGCGGTGATCCGCGAAGCTGCCTCTCGCGCCGTTAAGGACCTTCCGTCCTCGCTCGATGCCGGCGCGTCGGTGGCTCAGGAGTCGCTCGAGTCCGTTGGCCAAGCCATCGACGACATCGGCAGCACCGTTTGGAAATCGACGGCGCAGATTATCTCTCACGGTAGGGACTCTCTCGTAGCCTCTGATTTCGATTCGGATTATTTTGATTCAAGCAATAATGATAACAACATTGTTGGTAAGAAACAATTGATGAGTAGTAATAGTCAGGGTTTGGATTTGAAACCGTACAGTAGGTTTGATGCGCTTGTGCGTGCTCTACAGAGTGATGTCAATACATATTTAGAGGAACCTGAGGATTTGGGGAATTTCAATGAGTGGAAGTTAGGGTTTGAGTTGGATAAGAAAGAGGAGGAGATTCGGAATTTGATTGAAGAGAATGGGATTGTTTCGGAGATTTATGAAAAGGTTGTCCCCAGTAGGACTGAAAATGAGAGCTTCTGGAGCAGGTATTTTTATAGGCTGCATAAGCTGAAACAAGTTGAGGATACAAGGGCTAAGCTTGTGAAGCACGCAACTTTGGGGGATGAAGCAGAGGATTTGAGTTGGGATTTTGATGATGAGGATGATGGATATGAGCCTAAAGGTAGTACCAGTGGGGTTTCGGAGCTGAAGAAAGAAAGTTCTGCTGTGGTTGCCACTGATGGTGCTAGTGTCGTGAATGTGAATGATTTGGTGATAGAAAATGATGGGAAGGATGTTCCTCCTGAATCTAAAACCGATGGTGATGATCAATCCGGGGAGGTGAATTATAATGAGAATGTGGCATCTAATGTTTCTGCAACTGGAAGTGACAGTGGGGATAAGTTAGATGACAAATACGAAGAAAAAGAGGCATCAGAAGTGAAGCCAGATAATGATAACGGTGGATCGTGCAAAGATAGTGATATTTCCGTTGTTTCAAGCCAGCCTTCAATGCCTGGGGAAGAAGATATTGGCTGGGATGAAATTGAAGATATTGAAAGCAATGATGAAAATAGAGGGGATGTTGTTGGGTCCACAATTAGGATTGATTTGCGGAAGAGGTTGAGTGCGGCAGACCAAGATGAGGATCTTAGTTGGGATATTGAAGATGATGATGAGGCTGTCAAGTCATGAGCAAATTGTTCAGCATCACTCTTACTTTAATTTATAAACAAAAATTGCTTATTAAGTGCATAATTCTTTCCTTGTAAGTTAACAATGTAAATAAACTCTGTTTTTTTTTTATGTCTTGTACAAGCTTAAGTGATAAGGTGGACATCAGTTGAAATGAAGTTTAATTTGTATGTTCATGTAGACTCTTCATTTTGTTTGAGGAGGTTGCACCATATTCAGTTGTATCTGTTTACAGGATGGCATACTCAGTTAGTCAGTTATTTGCAATTACATTAGTCTGGGGATTACATAATCATGTCATATGGAGTTACCTTATTCCTGATATACTAGTGGTGATAAACTAGCAGCATCTTGTAATTGTTTGCACTGACTATCAAACATGGCATTATATCATGGGAAATATTACTCTCCTTTTACATGAGGTAACTTATCTCATTTTCTCTCACTTCGAATTTTGCACCCCACTTTTTTCTTCTTTTTCTTTTTTCTTGTAATGGTGGGACCCACCCATTTTCTCTCTACCACATAAGATAACTATCTTATGTGGAAGGAGATTAATAAAACCCTTATATCATATTACATTGCTCTACCGTTTTTCATTAACATACAGGAGAGAAGATTAAGAGTTTCACTCGAACAGACATAAGATTTACAAATTTCAAAAGCAAAGGAAAAACATAAGGATAGTAAATCGTAAATCAAGGAGGGTCAAATGATTTTTGACACAAGAATGCAATATCGATGCCTAAGTAAAATCAAATTTTCCAGAAAAACAAACACGCACACACAACAAAGCTCAAAAGATGCCAATTGTTCAATAAAAGTATTAAGTTTCAACTAGTTCTAACAATAACATAAAAGTTATTTTCTTTAATTTTTAGCTTGAATATCTTCATGATACTGCCCAGTTCTTATGTGTAATTATAGTTTTTGAGTAAAGCGGTGAAATTTAAAGTATGCCATTACATTTTTGCTAATCTGGCGAGTGCCCATCCCCGAAATTAGCATATACTTGTTCCAATCACGAAATTTTCAAATCAAATAACATAAGGAAAATATGTTATTTATTATCTCATGCAACAACAAAAAAATTAACGAGACTCACTAAGAAAAAGATAGAGACAAAGAAAAAAGTTGATTTCATCCGCAAAAAATAAAATTGTATTGCATAAGACATTTTGTCTTATATAATTTAAGAAATATATTCCCCATAACATAATCAATAGAAAAATTGAAAATTGATACCAACCTATACTAAATTGTGTGCCAGGTCAGTCCAATAACAACTCAAAGATAAAGATTTAATCACTAAGGAAATGCGTATATAACATGTACATGCACTCATGAAAATACACAGTTAAGCTTGTAGCAATACATGACTCATAATCCTCTATAGGCAATAGGTAAAGGATAGACACGAGATTCCAATCAAACTAGACATTATAACCCACCAAGAGCTATCCCATAGGCAAAATAGGTTGGCAAAGCCACCATAAACTACTAATCAGAGACAGCAACATATTAAGGCAATTAACAGGTCATGTCGCTACTATAAAAGAAAGGCTTAAAGTTTAGGTATGATCATTTTCTTCCAATTAACTTAAGTTCATCACTCAAAGACCGATTTAAGCATTAGAGTGCCTTGTAGCTGTAGGTACCTATTTCCATTTGTTCCAGACAAAACACATTTCAAAGGCATCAAAATTACCATCCTGCAGATATCATCCCATATAGTAAAACAGTTGGATCAGACTCAACCGTTTGTGGTTAGACCCAATTCCTTATGTATAGATCATAATTGAAAGTCAAGAGAATACTTCTATATCTTTATCTAAAATTCAACAAGTTAATAAATTATTTTAAAAGCTAATAAAAAGAGTAACGAACGACAGTTAATTTAGAGATGTTTCATATATTTAATGTGAGATGGAACAAGGCAAATGGACTCCAAACTCATATTTAACTTACCCCGTAGAGATAATCAACCTTAACTTACTTCGCAAGGCAGGTGAGTTGAGTACTAAAACAAGCATAAATTCCAAGCCTAGAGCCCAATACACTAAGTCAAATAACTATTAAGGGTTTGCTATGATGGTGGGTGATTATATAATTAGTAGGCACATGATTAAATATCCAAAATCTAACTATATCAGTTACTTCAGAAGTCACAAAAAATATCTTTGTAAATTTCGAATTTTAGTATAGATGCCTTTGATTAGACTAGGAATATTAATCAATAAACATATGTATGTAAGATAATATTAAAGAGATATAATATAAAAATTATTGAAGACTCATCACTTATAAGCTTAAGTTGTTGGGTGAAAGTGAGAAAGTTGCTTCATATGATCGGTGTCACGAGTTTGATCCTCATTGCCCCCACTTTTAAGTTGAATTGATTCGAAAATGGTCAACACTCCTCGAGCAATAAGGTAACTGTGTCAAGGTTCAACTCAAGTCCATTTTATCATAAGTTAAAATTCAATTTTTTATTTATTTACGAGAATGAGTGTTACAATTAAATTTCTTACTACTTGGCCGTAAATAATTTAAGGGATTAATGTTTTTCATAGGAGATAATTTTATCTCCTACCCACTCATAAAATGTGTGAGGCTCTTTTTTCTCTGTCTTCTCTTCACATTGATCCACATAGACCCCACATACTTTTATATGTGTGCAAGAGATAAAATTATCTCTTACAACATAAGAAACATTAATTTCATAATTTAATACTATGTTATGGACCAACTTTTTTCAAGGTTTAAGTTACTATATAAGGTTTTATTACTGACTTATATATTTAACGAGAGAGTGGTTATACTTACCACTATTTTAGGTTTACCACTCTTGCAACATATTTGATTGTCTTTGGATCAATTTGAAATCAAGGGCTTAACACTCTTATCACTATTTTAGGCTTATCCTTTTTACAACATATTTGGTTGTCGAAATTTGAAATCAACCGCGTTGATTTCAAATTGATCCAATGACAACCAAAATGTTGTAACAATGATAAATCTAAAATAGTGGTAAGTATAATTTTTTCCAATGGGATAGGTTATTCTGCTTATTCCCATTTTGCCTACCTTTGTCTATCCCTTTCATTACCGTTCGATTACAATCTAATCTAACGGTTCATATTTGCAAAATAAAATAAACTTTTTTACCCTTTCTTTCTCCTCATTTTCTCTCACGCCCTTTCTCTTTTCTCCCTTTCTCTCTTCCTCTACGCCATACTTTTTTTTCTTTCATCGCTGGTGTCTGCTTACATGTCTGATCGTTTAGTTTTAGATTATGATGTGTCCAAATAATGTGAGACCTCCAATTACGTTTGTTGCAGTTGGAGAATTTCACCGAAATTTAGATGTGTAGATTAGTAATGAATCTGATGTATTCTAGGAACATTTTCATAAGCTTTGTTCTTTTTAGATTGACACCTTAGTCTGAAATAGCATTCACCATTTTATTCAAACAAGTCACAAAAAAATTAATTCTTACAAATCTGAAAGAGGTCCACGACGACGGACACCAGCGATGAAAGAAAAAAAAAGGTATGGAATAGAAGAAGAGAGAAAGGGGAGGAGAGAGAAAAGGTGTGGGAGGAAGTGAGGAGAAAAAAAAAAAGAAAAAAAAAAGGTTTATTTTATTTCGTAAATATGGACTGTTAGATTAGATTGTAATCGAACGATAATGAAAGGGGTAAGCAAAAGTAGGCAAAATGGGAGTGGACAGAATAACCTATCCCTTTTATAATATCATAAACTGTAAGGAAAGTTCCAATTCAATATTGCCGTAGCGAAGGAGGAAAAAAATGTATGCATAATTAATATAAAATATTGGCAACAGCAACTTCGTTATAAATTTCCAACTTGTTTGCTCATTGCAACCATGCATTATACGTCGATTTTAATACCCTAGTCACATAAATTATGTTTTCTTTTAAGGAATTTATTTTATGTACAGAAAGTGTAATTTTTGATAATTTAATACCCTAGTCGTCTATCATTTCATATACCCTAGATTGTGGATCAATTCAACAATTACCAGACATTCAATTACTAGTACTGTACTAATCATAAATCATCTACCATTTCAGTGAAGGAAATTATAATTAGCCGGCAGGATTTCATTGAGAAATATAGAAAGACATTAACTTGCAAGTTACAACATATGATTTTTCAGCTATGGCTAATACTATTGATCACTTCTACCTCAATAACAAATTGGGAGAAGGTGGATGGGGACGTTTATAAGGTGACGTGATTATATCCTATTGCCAGCAATGGATCCATCTAATCTACTACTTGTGATTCTATATTTCCAAATAGTGATCAATACTCACTCACATATATGCAAGACATTGCTATCAAGCGGTTTCAAAGAACTCCGGAAAAGGACCAGATGAGTCCCAAACTACAATTATACTAACTGCCAATCTTCTACACCGAAATCTTGTTGAGTTTCTTGGGAGTAGACGCAAAACGATGAAAAAATCTTACAATCTATGAAATTCGGGCTAAACAAAAGTTTAGACAATTTTTGTTTTTTTGGAGCTTTTATCCTCATTAAGCCCTTTATTTGTTCTTCAACATGAATTTCAATGCTTCTTTGTTGTGGGAATTTATTAGATGAAACTAGAAGCAAACAAAAGGATAGGAAAATAATTCATGTAAATAGTTACTTCTATGAGTAAACCCATTCAACAATCATTCAAAGCTTGCCATACCCCACACCGATGCACACAGCTGCTTGCTTCCCATGCTTCCCGTCGAATTAGTACATGTGATTTTTGGCCCTAGAAATTTTTGCATTTCTCATATGAATAAGACTCACTACGCGTGATCAAACTCAATTAACAATGGTTACCCAGTTGAATGGTGATCATGACAAGAAGATTCACAAACGGATACCCAAAGCTTCAGAACATGGATATTGCAACAAGAGTCCCACACAAGACATCCTGTGTTTATGATATTCTATCAACATCTGAAACTGTTTAAATCTCTAACCATCTGTTTATAATAAAATCATTTGACTAAATCCCCGCATAATACATATGCCTAAACAAGGTAACAGCATCCCAACTCTTCCTTGTGTTAAATTCAAGGCGCATAAACCATTTTGGCAAGAAATATTCTCATATCATAAACAAATCTGTTGTCTGATTTTATTTTTAACTACAAGTCAACAGAAAAATCATCACTAGAGAATTAGTAACAGCCAGGCCAATAGAATCAAGTTCATGATTCATTCAGTACCAACCTAACCAAAATTGATCAAGTTAAAAAAAAAAAAAAAAAAAAAAAGTAAAATTTGAACAAGAAAAGTAGAACTAAAAGCAATATTACTTAAGAAAGGAAACTGATTAGCCTGTTGAGGAAGCTTCTATTATCAATGTTGTGGGGATGATGAAGGCATTCTCTTAGCCTTCTTCTTCTGCTTATCTGAAACCGCATTGGCAAAAGAATCCACAATTCGATGCTGGGACTCGAGGATCATTTGGGTTCGCTTCATTTCCATCTCCATATGCATACTCTCAAACTCCCTCGCCATCTCCATCTTCATCTGCTCCATCCTCACATACGCATCTCCGAATGCCTTAATCGCAGACACCATCTCACCCATCGGGTCTCTCTCCCTCTTCCCTTTCACATAACCATGGCTAGGGTTAGGTTTAGGGTTAGGTCTAGGGTTAGGTTTAGGGTTAGGGTTAGGGTTCAATTTGCGATCACCAGCCTTCCAATTGAACTTGGACCCAGGTTGCGCCATGGTTAACCCACTTGGAATTCTAATCCTGAACCCACCGCTACCAGAATCTTCAATCCCGTTCCTATAGAGTTTATTCAAGGTCCTGGTGTTAGAACCGATCTTGAATTCGTCGTACAAGTCTTGATCTTCGATGTCGGCGTCGTCATCGTCGCCGGAATCGTTGTTGTTGGGTTTGAGGGGGGAGGGGCCTTTTTCCATGGAGTGCATGCGGTTGAAGTGGACCCAGGAGGAGTTGAAGCGGGAGAGGGGGAGGGAGCGAGCGCGCTGGATCTCATTGCGGTAGCGCTTGCGGAGCTTCTCCATCTTGTGGCGGCACTGGACGGCGGTTTTGGGAGGGCAGGCGATGGGGCAGCGGGTGGCGACGGCGTCTGCGACATCTTGCCAGTGGTTGGACTTGAGGTTGCTGCGGCCGAGGGAGTACCACTTGTCGCGGTAGGCGTCGATGACGGCGACGGTCTCGTCATGGGACCAGCAGGGCGGAGGGAGGCGGCGGGTGGAGGAGGAGGAGGGGGGAGGAGGAGCTGGGAGAGTGAGAGGGAGGGCGGAGGGTGGATCTGGAGGTGGTGGGGAGGACATGGTGGAAGAGAGAAGAGAGGCGGCGCAGAATAGCAAAAGGGTAGGGGTAGGTAGGTTAAAAGAAGAGAAGAGAAGAGAGAGTGTTTGGTGGTGGTGGTAGGGAAAGTGGTGTTTGGTGACATATTGTGCGGCTGATTTTGAGATCTTGATTGGATGAGGACGCCACCACCGCCGCGTGGTCAGAATGGGCTAACTTGTGGGCTAACTTGCGCCGCGGTCACACCCAAACTACAACTAGGTCAGGTCAGGTCCACCTCTCTCTCTCTCTCCCTTGTTTTTTGTGTGGGTAGGTCAGTCTACGGTTAAAGTTGGTGTGTGTGTGTGTGTGTGGGTGTTTTTCTTGTTACCCCTTACACATCCAAACATATATGTTCAGTTACTTCTATCGACTCTTGAATTTTTTAATATTTCTTCACTAAAGTAGGTTATTTATTTTTTAAATAAGTGTTTGGCTCTATTTCTGAATAGCTTAAATTCTTTTTAGAAACCTCAAATTATGGTGTAAGACAAAGATCTTGTATTTTGTGAATTTTTTCCCTTAAACTTAATGTTAGAGTTCATAATTAAAAAAATTAAATACGCCATGGGTGGTTTTCTGATTTTCTTTACAGTAGTGTTTGGTTGGAGAAAAGTTAAAACTTTGCTGGGTAAGTGCATGTGGAAATCTGAGTAAACCACTTTTGGTTGGGGATTTTTGAAAAATATGTCCATCAAACCCACTTGCCCTGCAATGTAAGAAGAAGTGTAAAAATTGGATTTGAGCATTGTTGAAGAAGCCCTTTCAACAGGTGGTATTGGTTTAGGAAATCGGATATCTGAAAAAGGTGAAGAATGGGGTGACAAATATACCCCTTCTTCTTAACCACACAAGTGATATCCAAAACCACATTCTGACTTACACGAACAAGGGATATCCATTGTTAGTAACATGTGCATACTGCTGCTAAGATGAGAATCATTCTCTTTCCCGGGTACCATCTTGGGATCACTGCCGGATGATCTTGCAACTCGCATTAACACACAGTTAGCTTATGTGTTCCAAATTTCAAATGAATCAAGTATACACCTACATATGGTATATCGCTAAATTTAAGAAACAGAGAGAGAACAAAAGGGATGAACTTGGGTAAAAAAAAATGCAGGATCAAACCCAGAACCATGAAATCTTAAACCAACAAAAAAAAAATCTCACAGCAAAGTTATATCCATAGCCACATGAACCGATCTTACGTGCGCGATGAAGCTGGCAGCTTGGAGGTAGGACAATGTAATGGAGACCGAGACTTTTATAAAAAGAACCAAGAATACATGTGAGAAAATGTTTAATTTTATAAAAAGGTTAATTTCGTCTTTTGTATTCTTTTTCCCATCACAATTTTATTTTCAACCAAACACACATTAGAATTTTTAACCCAATTTTCCTAGTAATATTTTGCGCTATCAAACAACTTTTTTTAAATTTTCCAACATATTTTCTAGTAAAGACAACTCCCCACTTTAAAAAAATTTCTCCCCAACCAAACACTACCTACCTAACAAGTTTTTTTAGTATACCAACTTTAATTATTTCTTTGTGATAGGTCCGGTTATGAAATTAATATAAAGTCGAAACTTAATCATAATTAAAATTCTCAATTTGTAGTACCAATTCAACTACATCCGATTAGTTTTACTTGAAAAGTTTGAGGAAACGAGGTTGTTCCCAGAATAACTTGACCCATATTATAACTCAGAAGCAGGGATACTTAAATTTATTAACAAGGTTTGAACTCGTAACTTTTAAATCCGTGTAGTTTAAAATCTTATAAATCAAGCAACCTATAATTTACCTTATTAGCTTAATATTGAGATGGTTTATGTATTCACATTTGAAGAGTGTTTTTTTATTTTATTTATTACATTAGAATTTAGAAGTGTTATCATTTGAATAAGAAAGGAAAAAAAAAAAGGAAATGAATAAATAATCAAACTTCTGATACTAACATTACATTTCAGCGTTAAAGACTTAGGCCAACGGTAATCAAATTAAAAATTAGCTAAAACATGATTCTTTTTAGAAACAATCATTGGTTAATATTATTTTACAATAAATTTGAAGTCTATAATAAGAAAAAAAAAGAATGAAGTAAAAGTGTTTCCCATGGCAACCTCGTGTGACGGAACTCAGTCACCAAAATGTTATTTTTTGGCAAAAATTTTACCTAAATGTCACGCGAATAATATTTTTTATTAGACTGTCACATGTCATAATTCGTTATGACTGATAGCGAATTACGTTCGTCAATAATTTTGTGACATGTGACACACTTTCGCAGGAAAAAAGTTGACGTGTCATAATTCGCTACCAGTGATAGCGATTTAGTCTGCAATATGGCCATGTGTCATCAAATCATAGGCCACGAAATTCCCTACCAGTGATAGCGAATTATGACACGTGACAGTCTGATATAAAATAATGTTTGCGTGACATTTATTAGAAAAGAAGATTTGTATATAATTGAATTGTATAATATTTGTACAAGAGTTCTCAATTTAAAGAGCCTAAAAAGCCTAATGGACTAAGCTCAAATACACTTATAGAGTATTCTAACTATTACAAAATATAAAATAATTCTATTATTTACAATACTCCTCCTCAAGCTGAGGAATGAATATTTATCATTTCCAGCTTGGTAGTGAGTTCTTGAAATCTATCATTAGGAAGACCCTTGGTTAAGACATCAGCCAATTGACGACCAGAAGGAATATATGGAGTAGTTATCAGTGGACTGTCTAATTTCTCTTTAATGAAGTGGCGATCAATCTCAATATGTTTGGTTCGATCATGTTGAACTGGATTGTGGGTTATACAGATAGCTGTCTTGTTATCACAAAGTAACTTCATATATCCTTCATATCTCACCTTGAGATCATCTAGAATGATTTTCAGCCATAATAACTCATAGATACCTTGAGCCATAGCTCGAAATTCTGCTTCTGCACTTGATCTAGCAACCACATTTTACTTTTTACTTCTCCATGTTATAGTATTTTCACAGAGAAATATACAATAGCTCGAAGTAGACCGTCGGTCAGTCACGGATCCAGCATAATCGGCGTCTATATAAACTTCTAAGGATAAGTTTCCTCCTCTCTAGAACAATAGTCCTCTACCTGGTGTGCCTTTCAGATATTAGAGAATCCTGTCCACAACTCGCAAGTGTTTCTCCCTCGGATCATGCATAAATTGACCAACAACACTAACTGTATAAGCTAGATCAGGTTTAGTATGAGCTAGATATATCAATCTGCCCATTATTCATTGATATTGTCATTTGTTAACAGGAGAGCTCTCATTTTCACTTCCTAGTTTGTGATTCTGCTCAATCGGAGTACTGGAAGGTTTACACCCAAGTTTTTCTGCTTCTTTGAAGAGCTAAAGAACATATTTTTTTTGACAAATAAATATCTCTTGCTTTGAAATGATACCGACACATGATAACGATAAATGATTCTCACTTATTTGAAAAACTTCTGCATGACATAATTAACATATTTGGTAGCACTGTTACTATGCAGAATTTTAATACCGATTCGATTTTTAGTCATTTGGTACAATTTGTGAAAAATATCACATACTTCAGACTTTAAATGCAATAAATAAAATCACATAAAACGAGATTTAGCATCCATAAAAATAATGAAACATAAAAGAAAAGAAACCTACACAAATTATTTAGATTAGGGCTTGGATTCTGGCCCAAAAATTCTTTCCATAATTCGAACCCCTACCCTTTTATTAATTCATCGATCCTGCTGCTGGCACTTGCGGTTGCTTTTGTTTAACTTCAAATCATGTGTATGTCAGCCTCTATTTTTTCTCTTATCGAGTTCGAAAATTTATTATCTAATATTTGTCACTTTCTCTATTATTTTATAAAGAGTGTTATATAAATGATTGGCTTTGACGTTCAGGAGGTGACCATAGTGAAACTAAGGGGCACCAGACTAAATAATAAACTTATTGAGGTTAATAATGACTTAATGAGAAATAAATATGATACGTTTATGCAATGGAGAGTATTTTACGTAGAGAAATGTTATAATTACTATTTTTTTAATTATTTGTTATTATTAAATCTTAATCGTTGATTTCTGCTAATCTAATGGTTATAATTTATTAGGTCACACTTATTAATTAATTAATAATTTTAAAAAATTATAACAGATTTACAGAAATCAATGGTTAAGATTTGATAGTAACAAGTAATAAAAAAAGGAAAAAGTGTTTGTCATTTTAAATGACAGAAAGTTATGTCATTTTAAGAGAGATACAGACACAGAAAATTTGAATTTTAAATTAAAAAAATCACTCACTTTCTCTCTCCCATGATTTCTGTTTTTCTGTGTCTATCTCTCTCCTAAAATGACATAATTTATGTCATTTAAAATGACAAACACCAAACCCATAAAAAAAATAATAACTATAACTTCTTTTTTACATAAAATAATACTTCAAAACCCAATTAAGCTCAATTTTATCCATCATTTTGAAAGAAATTTAATGAAATAAAATATTACAATACAGTACCACAGTAAGTAAATTATAAAATTATAATGAAAAAGTGTTTGTCGTTTTAAATCAGAAAGTTATGTCATTTTAAGAGAGATACAAACACAAAAATTTTAAATTTTAAATTTAAAAAAACCACTCACTTTCTCTCTTCCATAATTTTCGTTTTTCTGTGCCTATCTCTTATTTTAAATAACATAACTTATAACTTATGTCATTTAAAATAATAAATACCAAACTCAATTATAATATATTATATCAAGTGATCATTTTCTTGTATATTTTCAATCTCAAGTTTAAGTCAAAAAGATTGAACCGTCCCAGTCATCAGTCAGCAGCGTGGGAAATTACATGGTAATTTGGTGTTAACATTCACATAAATTAGCAAGACAACATCATCTTCGTTCATCTATTTCCACACTCAGAAATGGCGCCAGGTAGCGAGCGACGGTGATCACAAAAAAGATGTGGCTTCATCTCAGCCACTTACAGAAGAAACAACCACCGCTAAGAGGCACCGATTCACCACCTCCTCACAAACACACCAACTAACCCTAGCACCACCTTCACTTTCTTCCTCCTCCATGCCTCCCGCCGACTCACTTCACGCGCCGCCGCTTTCCACACTTCCGTTCGAGCTTATAGTTGAAATCCTCTGGAGGCTCCCCGTGAAGTTCCTCTTGCAGCTCCGGTGCGTATGCAAATCTTGGAATTCCCTAATTTCATCCGATCCCAAATTCGCGAAGAAGCACCTTAGCGGTTCATCGCGCTTCCTCGTCTTGAGCTTCATGAACCCCTCACACCAATTCATTCTCAGGGCATGTCCTCTCCCCTCCTTATTCAACACCTTGACCCCAATCGCTACCCAGCTCCAGTACCCTTTGAACAAGCGAAACCATTTTGATTTGATCGTTGGTTCTTGTGACGGCATACTTTGTTTGGCCATCGATCAGAGTTGTGCTCTTTTGTGGAACCCTTCTATTAGGAAATTCAAGAAATCGCCCTCTTTGGAAAATCAACGGCAACTGGGTAGTTATACAATATATGGGTTCGGTTATGATCATTTCACTGATAGTTACAAGGTGGTAGCAGTTTTTTGCTATGAATGTGATAGTGGTGGTGCTACTGTTTACAAAACTCTAGTCAAGGTTCATACTTTGGGTACCAATTATTGGAGAAGGATTCAGGAGTTTCCTTCTGGTGTTCCATTCGATGAATCCGGAAAATTCGTGAGTGGCACTGTTAATTGGTTGGCATCTGCTACTTCAAGTTCTTCGTGGGTTATTGTTTCTCTTGATTTGGGGAAGGAGTCTTATCAAGAACTTTTGCAGCCTGATTATGGAGGAGTAACTGTGCTTACCTTGACCTTGGGGGTGTTGAGGGATTGCTTGTGCATACTTTCTCATAGTGACACGTTTTCGGATGTTTGGCTTATGAAGGATTATGGAAATAAAGAGTCTTGGACTAAATTGTTCAGTGTTCCTTACATGGGAAATCCTGATTCCTATCCGTATACTAAGGCACTTCACATTTCTGAGGATGACCAAGTACTGTTGGAGTTCCAGTCAAGGTTAGTTGTTTACAATTCCAGAGATGGCACTTTTAAGCTTCCTGAGATTCAAAGCATCAACAGTTGGGTGGTCCCAGATGTCTACGTTGAGAGTTTGATATCACCTTGTTCTTAATATTAGGATGTATATGCTATGCTTTGCCACTTGTGCATGAGGTTCTTGAAGAATCTACCAACTGCACCTTATATGTTTTCATTGATGTTATGCATATTATGTTTGTTCCAATTACTGGTGACTTCATGGATCATTGTTAATTGATAGTCGATGGAATTTGCAGCTTGAGAAATTGCTGTTAGTTTCAGTTGTTCTTTCATCTTGTATTACGTTTTATATGGTTTGCGATCATGTATTTTGCTTTGATGGTTATTGGTTTAGTTTTCTAAGATTGGATTTAAGATTAAGATGTTATGCCAAGTCAGTAGTATGTTAATTTCTTAAAATGTCTGCTAACTGCTGCACAAAGTTCATAATGTTTCCCTTAAAAACTTACCACAATACAATATAACCTATACAAATTGAATTTTATAATGAGTGTGGTTAGAGATACTTGTTTTGCTTCACAATATACTTGTTGTGTTGGCTTAGTGATGCAGATCTCGTACTTATTGGAAAGTCTCAACAGAAAATATTAGAGTTAGTGTATGATATAGCAGGAAGAAAAATTGGATTTGGTTACAATGGTCGCAAATAGTAATAATGTATCCAATTCTTAGCAACTTCTAAACGGTAACTGTTGCATACTGATTTCTTATAAACTGGCCAACAAAGTTGTGCTTAAATAAAGATCTAGGTTTGAATAATTTGCACGAGGATATAGGCAGAAAGACTATAAAAGAAGCAAGATTAAGCATCTAAACACAAATATTGAGGTGAAATTTTTTACATTCAGGATTTCTTCTTGATAAAACCTCAACTTATTAGCTAATCAGATGAGTTTAGCTTGATGTTGTAGCTATATTTGAGCTTTTTCATGTCAATTTGTCGCTGCCTACATTTTGCCAAAGATACGAGAGTAGTGTAGTTAGCATCATCTGGTGCTTCTTTCAAATTCTTATTCCTAGCTGTACTTTTGGGTGAGAAAACATGCAAATATTTTTGGCATTGTTCTTATAACATTAAATAATGTTGGTTAACTAAAATTCAAGCTTAGAAAACTTGTTCTTGTAGTTTAAAGGTTCACAGTGAAGAAAATTTCCAATGGATAACTTGGAAATTAACCTTCACCACTAGTTCTGTGATTGTATAAACCTCGCTGGCACTTCTCTTAGCTCTTAAACTCCATATTTCAAATTTTCTTGCATATTTACTCTGAATAGTGTGTTTACCATATGCTAAATTATTTATATAACTTGTTAATCAGCGTGAATGAACTCAAAACAACCATTTTATCTTATATTATTCTCTAATGTTACTTGCTGCGGCCAACCTTTCAATTGTGCATGACTTGATCATTATTATGCCATTACTTGAATGCCCAAGTGATAATTCCACTGCATTACAACTCTATGACTTCTGAGTGATAAATCTTTTACTCCAAATGCAGACATGAAAATTTCCAACACAAAAAACTTGACCAGTTGAACGCAACCAATGATAAGATTCGCATAAAAATACGCAATTTTGAAGAGCATTAAATAATAATGGACTCGTATGTCTCCGAGCAAAATCAGGGTGCACTATACAGTCATCATGAACATTGTACTGAAGTCTTCAACAAAACATGGAGTTATCATTTTACATGGTCCCAATAATGTTCGTACAATATCATGATGGTGGTATGATAATATATGTACTGTATAATAACTCTCATAAAATAAAACAACCAGAACAAATAAAAGAACAATTGGCATAGAAGATTCTTATATCACACTTAAAATACAACTGTAAAGCTACAAATTTTCCATGTCATCAAAGTACTGTCAGCCGTTAAGGAATACAAGAGAAGGATAGTGTACCTTAACAATGCTTGCTACGGTATTAAAAATATGCAACGAAGTAGTTTCAAATATTTAACTCAAATTCAAATTCAATTTCAATTTCAAATTCACACAGGATGACTAATTGTTTGCCTCCCTGAGCACCCTCAAGATGGAAAGGAACAGGTTCAGAATGTCAAGATAAAGAGTGACAGAGGCTCCAATGTACTCATCATAAGTGAAGCGCTTGATGAGGTTGTCAGTGTCATAGACAATATAACCAGAGAAAATCATAGCACCGATTCCACCATATATAGCATGGGCTGTTGGTCCAAGAGGGAAGAACATCTGCACCAAAGGACAACCAGTCAACAAGTTTCAAGCAAGAGAAAAGTTGCAACTTGCAAGCATCATTATATACACACACAGGGATGTGCATGGATCCGAACCGAATCAAATTTTTTGAAAAACTAAACCGAATTAGTTTAAATGGTTCGGTTCAAAAATGGTTCGATTTGATTCAAAAATGGTTCGATTCGGAAATGGTTCGGTTTAGTTGGAAACAGTTCGATTCGATTCAGAACCGATTCAGATCGGCCCTATTTTGAAAAGAAAAAAAATTCAAAATTTTAAAAATAAAGTTATAAAAATCAATTTGGTTCGGTTTAAAAACGGTTCGGTTCTGTTCAAAATGGTTTGGTTCTTAAACTGATTCTAAAAACCGGTTCGGTTCATGAACTGGTTCTTTAAAAACCGGTTCATTTCATGAACTGATTCTTTAAAAACTGGTTCGGTTCATAAACTAGTTTTTAATTATTTTAAGGACGGTTCGCTTCGGTTCACGGTTCTGTTCAGTTTTTTGGTTATTTTGCACACTCTGTATATACATATATGGTGCAGTCAACCAGAGATATCATAATTATTATGATGAAGTAAGAGAGTGAAATCTAACCTGCATCATGCCAGTGACGAAGAGAGTAACGAGGCAGGTGAACAATATTGGACCAAGGTAGCTAAAATCCTTGCCCTTCTTGGAAGCCCAAAAGGCATAGCCAGTGAGAGAAGAAACAACTGCCGAGGTCAAAATCAATGCCTCAAGAACAATTTTTCCTGCAAGCATTCATTCCAATGGACATATAATCAGATCAAAACCACAAACAGAATCCCCTGATTTTGAATCCTATATATAATCAATCACAAAATGAATGAATGATACGAACCATCCGTGTTAGCACATGTCACTCCAACAGTGAAGCTAATTGAGATGGTGAAGAGTCCAAGCAAGATATAATTATGAGGATGCTTTTGTTGGTACTTGAGTAAAGGGATCAAGACTGCAACATATTTCAAATTATTCAAATACGGCAATTGAACCATAACATAATAATAATAATAATAATAAACTATAATTGCATAAAAAAAATCTACAGAAATTACAGATCGGGGAAAATTTGGGGAAATTGAGAATTAAAAAAAGAGACTGACATATGAAGGGGAGGAAGAGGACGAAGAGGAGGAGGCCGGAATTTCCCTTGAGGAGATCGTTTATGGGAGCATAGAAAACGGTTATGACGGAGACGATGGTGGTGAGAACGATCTGCGCAGAAAGGATGCCATAGACCTTGCGGATGAAGCCCCATCGGAGCTGGTTGTCGCTGAGGCTGAGACCCGGGTAGAGGGTCTCCCCTGACTCGATGTCAAACTCCTCGCCCTTAACGTTTGTGTACATCTTTATAGAAATGGGACCCACTTTCTTCTTCTTTCTTCTCTTTCTGTTTTTTCTTCTTCTTCATCCAAATTCTCCATATATATAGCCGACGATTGCTGAATGCGCGTTTCCTGTATTCACCCGGCGTTTACTTCGGTTTGTCACAGGCATCATCCAAGTCGTTGGATTACAACGTGGGTCCCGCCAATCACATCCCTCTTTTTAATAATCGAGTCAATTGGTATCAAGAAATGAGATGACGTAAGCATCATGTTTTTTGTTCTTTTTTTCTTCTTCTTAATTTTCCTCTTATTGTCCAATACGCGGTATGGTTGGTGGGTTGCTTGCTAGAATTGAAACATAATTTCATTCTTAGGAAACCTTCCTCACGTGTCGCGTGGTTCAATTTTACTAATGTGTTCAAATATAACATTTAAAAAAGTAAATCGGTGAATATAATAAATACAAAAAAGAATTATATTTTCAATTGACACGATTTGTTACTTTAAATCAATGGTCAAGATTGCTTATTCATTGATTTATAACTACTAAATCACTCTTTGTCATCATCTTTATTTATTAAATAATTGATGTTGATCATGTAATCTAATCGTTTTTTTTAACCTTTTTTCAGTTTAATTCAAATCTTTACGTTTTTTGGAAAAAAAAAAACAGGATATTCATTGTTATTAAAACAAATGACTGTTTTATTCCATGAAATGACTGTTAAAAAATGGGATATTCATTGATTTATAACTACTTAATCACTCTTTGTCGTTATCTTTGTTTTTTAAATCTTTATTCAGTTTAATTCAAAAACTTCACATTTTTTAAAGAATACAATTCTATTTACTCGAAAAAAATTAATTAGTAAAAAAAAAAATTATACATATCCCGACCTTTGTTCCTTATTTTCAGATTTTTAAATTTGAATCTTTTATTAACCTCTTGATTCAATGGAATCAGGTATGAGTGTTTTGTTATTAGAAAAAACTTCTGTTTTATTCCATGAAAATCTCATTTATAACTACTAAATCACTCTTTTGTCGTCATCTTTGTTTTTTAAATAATTGATGTTGATCATGTAATCTAATCGTTTTTTTAACCTTTATTCAGTTTAATTCAAATCTTTACGTTTTTTGAAAAAAAAAATGGGATATTCATTGTTATTAAAACAAATGACTGTTTTATTCTATGAAAATCTCATTTATAACTCCTGAATCACTCTTTTGTCGTCATCTTTGTTTTTTAAATAATTGATGTTGATCATGTAATCTAATCATTTTTTTAACCTTTATCCAGTTTAATTCAAATCTTTACGTTTTTTGAAGAAAAAAAAGGATATTCATTGTTATTAAAACAAATGACTGTTTTATTCCATGAAATGACTGTTAAAAAATGGGATATTCATTGATTTATAACTACTAAATCACTCTTTGTCGTTATCTTTGTTTTTTAAATCTTTATTCAGTTTAATTCAAAAACTTCACATTTTTTAAAGAATACAATTCTATTTACTCGAAAAAAAATTAATTAGTAATAAAAAATAATAATTATACATATCCCGACCTTTGTTCCTTATTTTCAGATTTTTAAATTTGAATCTTTTATTAACCTCTTGATTCAGTGGAATCAGGTATGAGTGTTTTGTTATTAGAAAAAACTTCTGTTTTATTCCATAAAAATCTCATTTATAACTACTAAATCACTCTTTTGTCGTCATCTTTGTTTTTATAATAATTGATGTTGATCATGTAATCTAATCATTTTTTTTAACCTTTATTCAGTTTAATTCAAATCTTTATGTTTTTGAAAAAAAAACCGGGATATTCATTGTTATTAAAACAAATGACTGTTTTATTCCATGAAAGTCTCATTTATAACTACTGAATCACTCTTTTATCGTTATCTTTGTTTTTTAAATCTTTATTCAGTTTAATTCAAAAACTTCACATTTTTTAAAGAAGACAATTCAAAAACTATAAATCACTCTCATTTATACAATTCCTGATACGCATTATTCTTCAACGTCGGTGATTGCTTCTCTGTTTTTTCTTCTTACACAAAATATGAGTTCAAAATATGATTTTCTGAAGGATGTTAATCCTGCCAAGGAGGACTGGAGGATTAAGGTGAAGGTGGTTCGGACTTGGAAAGTTCCTAACTTTCAGCGTAAAAATTTGGAGGACAATCTTGAAATGGTTTTATTGGATGAACAAGTTGTGTTCTGTGTTTTAAAAATCTTCCATCTTTGTTTTGATCATTTTAGTTAACGTTGTTGACATAAGTTGGCTCCATTCTTTTGTAGGGTGGTAGGATCCACGCCATTGTCAAAGGTACCTTGCAGGTGCGGAATAAAATCAACGAAAGAGAGTGCTATTTTATAAAAAAATTTGGAGTTGGATTCAATAGCGATGTGTTTAGGCCAACCAAGCATCAGTATCGTTTGTCTTTCAACTTGAGGACTGATGTTAAATCGATTGTTGTTTCTGATATTTGTGCGAGTGATTTTGATTTTGTTGATTATAACATCATTGAGAAAGAAACGTCTGACTCCCCTTATTTAGTCGGTAATAGATTCTTCCTCATTGTTATCCTTTTTTTAATTATTGCGGGTTTTATTTTTTTCCCATACTATTTGCTGCCTTTTTTTAATTTTTAAACGTCATTGGTTTATTCTGTATCATGACTATTTCTTTATTTTTAAACTCTTTGCGGTTATAGTTTTGTGTTTTTAATGTTTTGTCACGAGTAATCTTATTCTGTATCATTATTTTTTTCATTAACTGTGTTTTTTATGTTTCTGTATTCGTTTTTTATTATTGCATAATTTTTTTCACAAACTCTTTGCTGCGTTTTTTTTTGTAGACGTCATTGGTTTAATCTCAGGAATTGGGAAAGTTTGTGATCGTGTGGTTTCTGGTAGGAAGACAAAAATGGTGGTGTTGGAGCTTGACGACCTGAGGTACTTACAAATGTTCAGTTAAATGAATTATTTTTGTCCAGCTCTGTTAGCTTATATTTTACGCGTATTAACGTTGTGCTTGCTGCAACTCACGTGTAGGGGTCATAAGTTGGAGTGCACTTTGTGGGAGCATTATGTGGATGAGGTCCAATCTTTTTTGGCAGACAACGACGATCCTCATAACGTCCTGATAGTCCAACTGGGAAGGATTAAGTGTTTTAGAGGTATGTTTTTTTCCAAACAACGTTGTTTTAATTTTTTCTTTTATAATCAGTTTTTATGCACGTTATTTTAATTAATTTTGCTTCTGTATTCAATGTTTATCTGAACCTTTTAACTCAATAGGTAAGGTCGGGATAACAAATACAAAATATACAACAAGGATTGTAATGGATTCAAAACTGAATGAGATTGTTGAGTTCAAAAAACGGTGTGTACCTTCTTTCTTCAACTCATTTATTCGGTTATTGATTAATGGATTTTCATATTTTTTTGATTTTTTAATTATTAATTTTTGCGTTATAGTCTCTCGATTGATGGTGTGGAAAGTAGTACAAGGATGACTCAATTGTCTACTCAGTCATCCTATTCTTTCGAAAATGATTTTCTTAAGGAGACTGAAAAAAAGTCTATCAGTGATGTGAAACTTTGTGTTGACGTAAATGTTCAAATTTTATTTTTACTTTTCTTTAATTTTTAGTTTCCTTAAATTTTGTCAATTTTGTATTGATGATATTTTATGTTAAACTGCGATTGCTTTAATTAAGGTAACTACCTGCATCACATACGGGACTATAAAGGCAATTGAGAGCAAATACAACTGGTGGTACAAGTCATGCAAAAAGTGTCCATTTTCCGTTTATGAGGATTTTGAGAAGTGGTATTGTAAGAACTGCCAAAAACATTGGGAAGATTATTATCCGAGGTAAAATATTCTTCTTAGTTTATAACCTGTCTTTAATCCGTATCATTCATGTACGTTGCTGATATACAATTTCGCAAAACTCAAGATTTAGTGTTCAGGTCAGAGTTGTGGATAACACAGATTCCGCATCCTTTATTTTGTTTGATCGCGACTGTGTGTCTTTGTTGGGAATGAGTGCTGCTGAATTGTGCGAGCTGCATTTCAAGAGGGTTTGTTTTTTAATTGTTGTGTTATGGTTAAAATGTATTTTTTGTCGTTTTGTGCTCTCTGTTTGCGCTGTCTATGTTCTGTTCTTTTTTTTTTAGAATAATTTTTTTTCCCTTTTCATTTTTTTTAGGGTGCCGATTTGGATCAATTTCCAAATGAGTTAAATGTTCTGAATGAAAAGTCAATGTTGTTCAAGATAAATGTTAAGCAAAAGGATTTGAAAACAAATAGTGAGCCCAAATATCAAGTTTCCAAAATTTGTATCAGCGAAGACATAATCTCAGCGTTCAATAAGGCTTTTATAGATCCAAATGTATGCTGCTTATATATTTATTTTAGATAACTATTTTTCTTATACATTATATTTACTGTTGTTGGTTGTTGTCTATCACAGGATGAAGCAAATTTCGATAATGCACGCGAAAATGAAGTTGTTTCATCGAAACTGGAAAAGGCTGCGATGAGCTATGAATTCGATTTAGATTCATGTTATTAAAAATATATAAATACATATTTGACATACCTTTTTTATATGAAAAAAAAAACAAAAAAAAAACACAGGATGTTGAAAGTCAGACCTGTGACAGTGCTGACGTTAGTGATGTCTCTCTGACGATGTTGACACCTGTGCTCACTTCTCATGATTCCATTGCTGGAGAATTTAAATTTTCAGCTGTTCGGCCGACAAAGAAAATAAAGCTTGAAAAGGAGTTACGTACTGTGGTTCTTATATTTTTATTTAAAATTCATTTGTGTTTATATGTATTTTTTCTTACGCGAAGTGAAAACAGGCAGATAAAGTACGCTGTAGATTGGGCTGCTGTCATGAAGAGTGTTATTTTGCGTCTTGGGACATGATGTTTATTTGACAAACTCTTGCATAGACATTTTTTTGTTGGAGTTACATCTTTAAATGTTTGCATCTTTTTCAAATCTTACGTTTATTAAATGTCCAAGTTTGTGA